TGTTATTAACCGATAGTACATGTAGAAAAAAAATTATTTTTTTAAATTAAGAACTCTCTCCTTTTCCATCTTAAAGGAGAGGCTAAAAACTCATGTCTTGAAACAGGTACATGTCAAGGTCTGTCTAAAAAGTCAACTCAGTTTCAGAACAGCCAAAGACTGCCTTTTCGTTCATTAAAAGTGGGCTGAATACTTACTTATTCAAAATAATTCCAACTGTTTGGCAATAAAAAGGAACTTTAAAAATACTTTCCGCACTGAAGAGTGTCTTGGATTTAGCCTTTCTGCCTTTCCTAGAACACGTCTAAGGGAGGACCTGAGGGAAGACTGCCCTTTATTCAACTATTTTTTTTTTGTTTTATAGCCAAACGATCAAAATCATTAATGCAAACTCAGGGCAAAGCCTGGAAGGATGATATTACCAAAGATAAAACAGTTCCAGGACCAGTCTTCAAAGTTAAAATCTAAGGCTTCACTGACCTCTTTCCAAAATGTTTTATGGCGTGAGATTTGGATCTCCGACTCACACACCTGAAGCTGTCCCTCCCAGCCACCGCCTGCCTCCTGCAATCACCAAAGACCACTGGGGAGCTGAAGGGAAGCCTTTGAGACCACCTTCCTGACTGACCACCTTATGGTTCCAAAATGCCCAAAGGCAAAGAAAAGGCATCTATTGGCCTTCCTCCCTCCCTCCCTCCCTATCTCCTATCTACCTATCTACCTATCCATCCATCCATCCATCTATATTTACATGAGAATTTTCACAGGACATGCAATCAAACAGCACTGTGGTGTACACATCATCAAAAACACATTGTCCTAGTTTTTTGGTCATGTTGGTATCTCAGATGGAATTTGGGAATATGTGAGCTAGAACAGCGTTGAGCTGCTCTGGGTGCTGGCAAGGACTGTGACCCGTGAGGATGTGTCACAGACACCATGGAACGGAATCATTTTGGGGTCCCTGTGGGCAAGGCCCCAAGGCCCTGGTGGTGGTGGCGGCTTCAGCACTAGTGACAGCCCAGGCACCCACCTGTGACCACTCAGATGCCTCCCAGATGGACAGGCAGTCCTGGCCTTCGCAGCTCTGCACAGGTGATGGCCGGGGGACCGGGCAGTAGAGGGGCCGGGTGGCGACGTGGGTGCCGTTCTGCAGCTGGTACACGCAGGTCACTTCCCGATGCTGGATGCCCTTCTCACAGGTCGCTGAGCAGGGGCTCCACGGGCCAGCCACCCACCTGCCCGGAAAGAGGAAAGGGAGTAAGAGAACAAACGGGCTCCCGGACAGATCGCGGAATCGTGGGAGTGGGGGAGACAGACTCAGCTTTGCAATCTCCTTTGGAAATAATTCAGGGTATCGGAGCAGGGGATCGGAGCAGTCTGAGTTGAATGGTTCAATGACCCACTCAGTACAGAAATCTTTCTGCACACTCCCCTCCCCTCTGCCACTCAAGGTAGACTGGGTCATTGTCCCTACGTGTCCCTCCTGCTGTCTTGTGACATGCTTTGCTTAAAGGGGTGTGAGTGGACAGGAACCTGGCCACGTCCCAGCAGAAGCTTTTGAGTGTGAATATGTGGTTTATCTCTCACTCCTTCTGTTTCTTGCCCTCTGCCCTGAAAACAGGTGACCCAGGTGACACGAGGGATGCTCCAACAGCTGAGCTCTGACATAGCATGACTCTGCCGTGTGCCACGGAGATACTGGGGTTGTTTGTCACTGCAGCAAAAGCTGACTGGCACAGCCCTCGACCAAGGACACCCCAGTCCCAGCTTGAACACACCAGGACGAGGCACTCCCCGCTTCCCAAAGGGTCGAGGGCCCTCCTGAGTGGCGGTGGTCACTCAAGGAGGCAGCTTGTGGGAGGTGGGAAGACTAAGCTGTGGGGGCCATCGGTCTGAAAGTGCTCAGCTAAAACTTCACCCACCTGCCTAATATTCTAATGATCCCAATTCTGCCGGGCCTCTGTCAGCTGTAGGGTGCTGGAAAGAGGCTAGGCGTTTTGGGAATCACGATTTCTCAGGACGCAAATGGAGCTTTGAGGGCCCTTTTAGAGACGCTCTCTTGCTTTGGTCCCTGGACAAGCCACAAATACTCCCAGCTCCCAGGAATCACCACCTGACAACGCAGCGCCGTCTCCATGGTCAGCTCTGACAACCGCTCAGTTCTTACATCACCCAGAAGAGTCCCAAATCCAACCTGCAACCAGATCTGATGAGGCCATCCCACTGTTTGGAAACATCTGAGGTGTCTTCCTGCTGGCAGGAAGGGACACTGGGTGGTCCCAATCTTTCCACACCCAGGTCCAGCTTACGTGATCCTTTGCCCATCCTTGCCCAGCGTGTCCCACATGTCAGGCACTGTTCTAGGTTCTGGGGATGAGGCAGTGAATGAAACAAAGCCCTGCCCTCTGCGTCTTACTATTCTAATGGGGACAGACAGCAAACTGAGGAACCACGGACAACAGAATGCAACAGAATAGAGTGTGCATAATGTGTCACACGTTATGTCTGCATAGAGAACATGCCACACCCTAATAAGTGCTCTAGAGAAAAGGACAGCAGCACAGGGCAGACCAGGGAGGAGGTACTGTTTATTCAAGGCAGCCAGGGTGGCCCCAGTATAAGCTGACATTTGGGCAGTGCTGGAAGGAAGTGAGGAATGAGCCCCGTGCTCTCTGGGAGAAGACCTGCAGGCTGAGGCCACAGCAGGTGCAAAGGCCCCGGCGGAGGGTGTGCTGGCAGGGCCGAGGGGCAACAGGGAGTCCACCGTGGCTGGGGAGGGGGAGGGACATGAGAGGTAGCAGGGTGAGATTCCGCAAGGCCAGGCTGGCTGCTGTGACTCTTGCTTGAATAAAATGTGGTCCTGGAGAGTCTGGAGAGAGGAGGACCACCCTGGCTCTGTGTGGATATCAGTCTACAGCGGGTAGGGGCGGCTGCAGGGAGAGTGGGGAGGGGGCTACTGTGGTGGTCCAGGAGGGAGATGAGGGTAACTTGAACCAGCTGAGGGTGGTGAGGCTGTTGGACTAAAGGTCAAGAAGATGGAGCTACCCAGATCCCTCCCTCCAGGCCCACCTGGTTCCTCCTCTTCCCTTAGGCCAAGGTCAGGCCACTTCAACTAGAACGCATTTCCAGTCTCCTTGGCAGAGCTCATCACTCTGTTCCTCACGGCCCAGGGACTAACTCAGTGAAGCTGTTCTTCTTACGCGGCGAGGATGGAGACACAGTGCCAGCCTCGGGGTGTGAGGACAAGCGAAGGAAACACCAAATGGCTTTCCTGACGCCGAGACAGCTTACGGAGTTCACTGTGATTAACTTGCTTTCTTGGAGTTCTTTCTGGCTGACTCTCCTGCTTTTTCCCATGCTACTGCTATCGTTTCACTTGCTCAAATGATTACGTGCTTAGCAACCCCAACCCTATAATTTACTCCCTACCCTAAGTAACTTGTATCCAAAACCCAGAAGCTACTTTCCAGAAAGGAGGTCATGGAACGATAACCCTGAAGGAACGGCCAGATCCTCCAAGAGCCCCCATGACACCAGAGGAATCAGACCAGATGACGCCTGCTTAATGGACCATCAGAAGTTCCTGTGACACAAGATAAGCTTTTGAGAAAGACTATTGCTCATTATCACGGATATGCTCCATCCCGTTTGCCTATATAATCACCAAGCCCCAATCCCCAGGTGGATTCACAGTTTCCAAGGCATGAGCCCGCTGTGACTCCCCTTTGCCAGGCAAAGCCATCACACGGCTCTCTTCTTTGCTCCCAAAACTCTGCCTCTGAGTTCGAATTCGATTTTCAGGGTGCAAAGGCTGATTTTTCAGCAACACAAATAACACATTGCCTGCAAACTGCTCAGGCCAGTGCCTGGTACACATAAGCCGCGTAACTTGACTTATTTGTCGTTACGTTCTGTCTCCTTGGGAGGAAATGGAGAATTCCCAGACGGCATCCAGTCTTGGTCCCACTTCAGTACCTGACAACTGCTTAAACACCACCAAAAGAATTGAACCAACTTCTACCCATTTCTCCTCATTTTGGTCTTCAGAGTAACACGAATGCCCTCTTAAATATTTGAAGATAGCCCTACCTTTCCCCTTTTAAGTTTTCTCTTCTCTTGAGCAAAAGAATCTGCAGGTTCCCGATCCACCCTGATTCGCTAATCAGTCACTACTGTTCTTAAAATGGATTGATCTGTCATGGACACAATGGCCCCGGTGTGGTCTTGAAAGTGGCAGAGAGAATGTGATGATTTTCTCCTTAAACAGAGACTCTGTTTTCCTGAATGCTGCCCAACTCTGCACTATTTCTGTTTTGTTTGTTTGGGGGTTTTTTTTGGTTTGTTTTTTTAAGCAACCACACTGCACCTCTGCTAGAGCTGTTTTTCTCTCTTGTGTCAAATCGGCTCCACGTGAAATAGCACAGCACAGAAAGGATGGGAACTAGCCCAGAAGCTCCAGGAAGCCACAGAGCAGGTTAAAGAGAGAATGGCTACTGGGGTAGTTACTTTGTCCAACCTCAGCTTATCTGTCCCCCAGATACATGGGGGGACAAGTCCTGAACCAAGGGCTGGGGCACTCAGCTCAGTGTCCCCACCGTCACCAAGCTCAGGCAAGTGTGTGTCCTGGGGGGACAGAGAAACATACAAGCAGACAGTTTCCTCACTATGTGATAAGTGCAGTGGAGGAAATGGAGCTTGAGTTGGGTCCTGAAGGTCAAAGTGAAGTTGACCAACCAAAGACGCAGGGCTCAGTGCTCGGACAGAATTCATTTTCTGACCGTGAAATGTCAAGGAGCAACTGTGAGTTTGGGATGGCCAATCCTAGGGGGGTACTCTGGGGAGGTAGGGAGGGAGGTTGCCATGGGTGTCTTCAGTAACCATGCGCCCTGGGCCAATACGATGACCAAGGTGGTGGCGGAGAAATGGAAAACAGCACTGACGTAAGATCCTTAAAGGGTAGAGTTGACAAGGCTGTGGGTATGTGGGGTCAAGGAGAGAAAGGAGGCAAGAATCAAGCTCAGGATTCTGACTAGCCCAGAGGACGCTGGTGGTGCCTCCACTGTGATGGAGAATACAGGAGAGGATTCAGACTTGGGGCATAAGAGTGGGTGCCACTTTGAGAGGGTCACATTGAGATGGCCACTGGGCAGCCAAGTGGTGCTGGGAAGGGTCTGCAGGTGCAGTTCTGGAGTTCAAGGGTGCGGTCTAGTTGGAGATATGGAGGTGAAAAGTCATAGGTAATAAGGTCCTGGTGGAGAGCAAGGGTAAGAACAACTCAACAGGGAGTTTCCACAGGAGAACAGAGGGCCGGGGGCCGAGACGGGGGGATATAAGCACCTGGGGTTGGAACCAAGAGGCTCTGAAGGAGATGGAGAAGGCACGACTAGCAAGGCTAGGGAGGGCGGGAGGGCAGGAGGGTGGTGCAGGTGATGCCAGGGGAGGGTTGGGATGGATGAGGCCTGAAGCGCATCCCCTGGATTTGGCCACAAGGAGGTGTCGCTGACCTGGGAGAGGACGAGGGAAGGGGTGTGGCGCTGTTAAATGCAGAGCTGAAAGAGGGTGATGGAGAGAGACCTTGTGGGCGCCCCTTAACAGACTGGGTTTGATGCCTACAGAGCAGGCTGTGCAGACAGACCTTCAGTCTTGGGGTGACATCCAAGCTTTGGAAACTAGACCTAGAGGTTAGCAAAATGTCTCATGACTTGGGAGCCTCTGGTCAAGGGGGCTGCACGTGGGAAGGAAGCAGGAGTGAGGGGACATCTGGGTGAGGAGGAAATGCTGAGAACAGCTTAGGGCTGGAAGCAGTGGCCCCAGAACAGACCGGGAGGGTTCTCTCGTGGACCCGCCTGTCTAGAAAGGCCACCCCTGCCACTGGCAGTGCCTCGTGGAAAGGTCATCTGTCAGGGACCTGTGCCGTGTCCCAGATGCTGGAGGCTGGGTGTGGAGGAAGGCCAGGGACCTGGCAGTGGACAGCACATGTGAGGAGAAGGCTCTGCCTCCGCCAGGGCTCAGCTGCTGCCACCCTGTGGGGTCTGGTGACTGAGGCCGGGCCAGTAGGTCAGGGCACGTTGACAGAGAGTCTGGCCTGAGAGTGACCCCGTCCACTCCTAGCCCAAGCAGAGTCAGTGGTCTGATTGGGAAAGCCAGACGGATCGAAGCGCTCAGTTCTCATTCATCCTCTGCCAAGAGAAGGTCTGAAAGAACAGGCTCACGTTTCCTGTGTCTCCCACGTGGG